TACGTACGTACGTACGTACGTACGTACGTACGTACGTACGTCGTACGTAGTAGTAGTAGTAGTAGTAGTAGTAGTAGTAGTAGTAGTAGTAGTAGTAGAGAGTAGAGAGAGAGAGAGAGAGAGAGGAGAGAGAGAGAGAGGTTTGGGGCTTTCTAGGTTAAGATTGGAAATGAATGAGAGGGAAGAAGGGGCGTAGAGGTTTGTGCGATTTTATAGCCTGTAACAGCTACCGCGCGGGCCGTTTCACATTGTCCCCTCACACGGGATAGTATTTATGTGTCCTTTCCGACCCTCCCCTTTCTCCGTCTTTGATTTTTTATCTTTAGAAAAAATTTGTATAGACCCGGGGCTCTAAACAATCAAATTAGAGCACACCTCAAAATTTTCATTATAAAAGGTTGTTTTGATGCCCAAATATTCTCAAAGTAATCATCTTTGTTTTTGACAAATGTTATGAACTTATATTAAAGCAATGCTTTTAGAGTATGAGATTACAAAGATTGGATCAAATCGTTAGAAACTTGCAAAAAAAGAAAAAAAACACCATGTTTAGCTGGCCCATGGGCGACCTCATTGGCTTCATGCATGGTGTGGCCGAAGCATATCCTCAAATTAGAGCAGACACATAGATCTTGAATTTTTAACGAAAGAGTAAATACAGATCAGGGGATCCTTTGCTCTTTTCTACATCACTTAATAACATTCAGGGAATCCCTTCAATTATAATATCTCCAATGAAACTCCTATCGATGATAATATGAAGGCCTTGAAGGAGAGCAGCCAATTCGGCATGATTGCCTATTGTAGACCACAAGGACCTGAATCAAAAAAAAAAACCAATCCTCAAAGTGATCATCTCGATATCAATATGCATAGACATGAGCCAAAAAAAAAAAAGATTTCAAGTTATGAAAATAGTGCATCTTGTAAAATATGTTTGGACCATCAATTTTCAACTTTTCATAGATTTGCTCCATCTACGTTATTTTTTAAGCTTTAAATTTTATAAAAAGATGAAAATATATTTTAAAGCTATCACAAAATTTTCAATAGTGAAACCATATTTCTCGATACTATTTGAAGGTGTGTTTTACTTTGATTGTTTAGAGCCTCGGCTCTATGCAAACCGTACCATTTATCTTTTGTTCACAATCATTTTTTTCTCTTAAATTTTTCAATGAGTCCATATGGAAATGAGTATCCTTTTAAAAATCTATTTTTGTGATGGATTTATATGAACTTAATTTTTAAAGACATGTAATCTCTAACATGGAGATCATCAATATAAAAAAATAAATAAAATTTTAAAATTAAAAATAATAATTTTATTAAAAAAATATTTGGACTGCTAGTTTTAATTGTTTTTAGATAGACCACCTATTTGCATCCATCTTTAAGATAAATACTTTATATCTTGGGACTGTATATTGTTAAAATGCGGTCCAGCTCACATGAAACAATTTTCAGTAATACAATCCCCTTCTTTATTTCTATTTTATTTCATTTTGGAAAAAGTTACAAGGTTTGCTGTAGAATCAAGTTGCAACTTAAAAAACTGTCTTAAAAGGCTGTTTTGATGTTGAAAAACTCACTAACTAATCATCTCCATCTCGGCATCGAGGTGTATAGAATTATAAAGAAAAAGGTTTCAAGTCTAAAAAATAGTGCACCTTGTAACATATTACCTGGATGGTTCAATTTCAAGATTTTCATGTGTTTATAGACCTACTTGATTTAAACTATTTTTAGAGTTCACAATTTTACAATTATTTAGTTAGAGATGAAATTAAATTCTCATGCCATCTTTAGAATTTTTGACACCAAAACTACATCTTACAATAAAATTTGAAGGTGCTTGTTTATCTAATTATTTAAGGTTGCAACCTCATACAAATCACACCCATCTATTTTTCTATTATATAAAAGAGAAATGGAGTATTGAGATGTCCTCATTCTTATAATTTTTCCCTTACTTTTACTTGATTTCTCTCTCAAGAGCAAATATAGGGCTATGGATTAAGAATGGTGAAGTGCTTTCAATTTTACTTTACTTTCAATTAGGACGTGGAGAATACCGTAAAATTTAAGTGATTCACAAGTGGCCATAATTTTAAGCGGATTTCCCGATTTTATGACACCAAGATAATTAAGTTTTGGGAGTACATGACTCCGAATAATTCAATTGTACTGCACTACCACAGAAGGAATAATGATGAAAATGCCTTTAGTTTATGATAATAATAATGGAAATGCCCCCTACATTTTCGGGCCTTCGAACAAATTTAGACTAAAGAAAAGAAGTGATCTACAGTGAAAAGTTTGTATACTTCCCTTACACTATAGAAGATCTATATTTCTACCATCCAGCCGTCTAATTTCATCGTAGAAGATCTATACTTCCCTTACCATCTAGCCATCTAATTTTGATCAAGAGAGCCACTCACTGATCATAGATCCGATGTCTCAAAGAATTTTATTTTTAGTTTTTTTTATACAAATTGTATGAATATGAAAATTTGTATGTGTCATCATTTCATTGGGGCGCACCTATAAAAATATTAAAAATAATTTTCGATAAAAGATAATGATCAAAATACCTCTTGAAACTTTTAAGGGTATTTTGGTGATCTTATTTTATTGGAAATATTTTTTTTATATTCTTTGCTAGTGTGAGTTTAATAGAGGAATTGATGTAAAATTTGGTGTCAAAATAGGTTATAGAAAAAAAAGTAAAAGTAAAATAGTGTAGAAATGTGACATTGTGATTGAGGCAATCTTAGCCCTCCATTCAGAATGGACGGTTGGATAAAGGGAAGTATATAAGTTTTACGTTGGTTTATGGGCGTTTTTGTGGGTGTTAAATTGCACGGGCAGATTTATTGGAATCTATTGGGTAACACGTGTGAGCCGACCATTAAACCAAAATTTTATTTAATTAAAGCCAAAATCTTTGGGTGCAGTTTGTATAGAGCCTAAACACTAAACAATCAAATTAGAGCATACCTTCAAAATAATGTCAAGAAATGTGCTTTCAATATTGGAGATCTTTGTGATAGCCTTAAAATATTGTTTCATATTTATTTATAAAGTTTAAAGCTTAAAAAATAGTGTAGATCGACATATTTATGAAAACTTGAAAATCATGAAAATTGACAGTCCAAAAATGCATTACAAAATACACTATTTCAAAAACTTGCAATTCATTTTTTTATCATGTCTATGCATCTTGATATCGAGATGATCAATTTGAAAATATTTGAGCATCAAAACAACCTCTTCTTATGAAATTTTTGAGGTGGGCTCAAATTTGATTGTTTAGAGCCTCGGCTCCATATAAACTTTTCCCGAAGCATTATATTATACGGGATGCATCTCTAATTTTCTCTTCTTTTTTTCGATCGAAGATCAATTTGGTCTATTGTTCCTCTAATACGATGTCTAAAATCATAAATTAAGTCTATATATCACATGTATTAACATATATCTAGAATATTTTCTCGTTAAAAATTGGGAATTCGATCAAATTACGCATATTTTTAATGATTTAACAATGTGTGTGATTGCATATTACGAGACCATTTATTATTAGTGGAAGGAGATCATAATCATTTTTAGCCAGTAGATGGGAAATCCAATAGTTGAAAATACTTAAAGTATGGCCTTTGATAGAGAAGATCGGAGGAGCATGTCTCAAGTAGCAAATCCCCAATAATTGGAATAAGGTTTGGCTGATGATGATGGACGCGAGATCTAATAAATTGGAGTGTGTCACACACGGTTTCTATGAGTCCATATAAAAATGAGTCCCATCTTAAAAATCTATTTTCAAAATGGATTTTTTGACCCAATTTTTAAGAACGTATAATCTCTAATATGGAGATCATGAATATGAAAAAATAAATAAATTTTAAAATTAAAACAATAATTTTATAAAGAAAACATTTAAACCGTTAGTTTCAACTGTTCTAGATGGTCTGCCCATTTGCATCCATCTTTAAAATGGATGCTTTATACCTCGGGGGACTTAAATGTAATAATGCGTCCCCCGATTCATGAAACAATTTCCCTTTCTTTTATCTCTTCCAACTCATAGTCATGTTTGTTTTGATTGGAATTTTGAAATTAAATCAAATGATACGATTAAATGTTAAGGGGTGCGGTTTCTATAAGGATGCAACCTTAAACAACCCAATTTAGGCGCACCTTAAAATTTTATCATAACATGTATTTTTATTATAAAAACTTCTTAGTATTATCTTAAAATCTATTTTCATACTTAATTAGGAAATTTTAAATTCCAAAAATGGTACAAATCAAGTAGATCTATAAATATATGAAAATCTTGAAAATGGACGGTTTAGATAATGTGTTGCAAGATGCACTATTTTTGGGACTCAAAAACTTTATTTTTTTCCATATTCATATATCTTAATGTCAAGATGATCAATTAGAGGGTTTATTCAACATTAAAACAACATTTCCGATAGATTTTTGAGGTGCATCCATGATTCTACATTTTAAGGTTGCAACCTTATATAAACTTTTTAATATTTCCAATATTAAATAGTTGAACTTTTATGTGTATTTTGATGAGTATTCTTAAAATGTTTCTTTTGGAGCACTGCACTCCATGCTCCAACGGATTAATGTACTATCTTTCTTCTTTCTATCATTCTCTTGCTCTTGCAAATGAAGCAATGATTGTTTCAATAATAAACAGCTCAAATATGAAAAATAATCCGGTTTGAGCCTTTATGGGGCCACCCCATGGTCCTCTCTCCAATGGGGTGGCCACTAAAAGGCCAATACAATAACTTATTTGTGATTTTGTTAGCAAAATGCATGAATATACTTGTTAGAAAGTGCATCCAGCTTTGGAA